TTCCGCGATCAAAAAGTGTTATTTACCACACGTAAAAAACACTACTTTCAACGCGTAAAGAACATTTTTTGATTGCGAAAGCGTTTTTTTTCAAAATCTTGTTTGCGCTTGGGTACTAGTGTCTTTCTGATTGAACATAAAAACATTGAATCAAAAACTCATAAGAAGACTATTCAAACAATTTTTATGGAATATTATAAACTCCTTCTACAATTCGTAGATGATAACGAATAATTCTAGGTTATTGAAACGATAGAGAATACACTTGTTTCTGCTAGCATATGCACAATATATTTTTTCTTTCGACATATAATTTTATTTTTTCTATTAATATAATCACTCTAATAATCATATACAAACAACAAGAAAAACAAAATAATTCAGTCGAAAGTCATGCATTAGTTTAATAATATATCATCGATGGAATTCTATTACTTGATGTTATCGTAGTCATGAAAATAAATCTATTATTTTAACTTTTTAAATAACTCCTACAAGAATAAAAATAGAAATTTCTATCTATTAATTATCCCCTATCGATGAAATATTTTATTGAAACGTTTCATTGTCCAATTGAATACTTATTTAATTGGCAAAATAAATCAATCATTAAAATGGTTTACAGAGCAAGATAGTAGTAATTGTTAATATTTGTTTTTGGACATTAAGTGTTTCATTGATTGATTGAAATACATATTCTTTCTATGTGTTTTTTGGCATTTATTAAATCCAAATATATATATATATATATATATGGATGATTTGCGCTACCATTGTACCGTTTGATTAAAAAAATAAAAGTGAACAGAAAGAAAACTTGAATCATACATTTGATATAGCTCAGTTCGTTATATATATTGCAGGTAGTTTCTCGACTGCCAGACCTTTTGTTTTCGAGAAAATCGACGTTTCTAAAAACATCGAATATTGTAGATATTCTGCTACGATATTATGTCTTGAACTGCTTCTTTTTTACTAATATCGAGAGTAGAAAGAAGAAGAGATGCACCTTCCAATCATCGAAACTATCAAAAATCTTCGATAAATATGCGAAATCAATTATTCATGATATTGTGATACTAGAAAATCTGTCGGGACATTTCTTAGAAAAAATATTGTTTTCTGATGAACGATGATTGTCTAAGAGATGGTATTTCTATGGTAGATTTACCACTTAGGGAGCTTAAAATGATAAAAAAATAGTCGATTAATTTCCCATATTTATCGAGAAATCAAAGAAAAATAATCAGAAATCTATTGGGACATTTACTACAACCATAGTCACTTGTCCACTTTGTTTTTCGGTTTTGATTTGATTTGAAAGTTCATTAGAGAAAATTTTTTTATAGAAATATTCCTCATTCTTCAGTCTACAAATGTATAAAAAGAAATCTGCAGTTTGGTTCCAACTAACTTTAATAGATTGAATTTAATCTGTCGGGACGTAAAATAGTCAAAGTAATTATTACAAGATTTTAGAGACAGTTAAATAATAAATTTATGATTATTCGGTATGGTTAGATAGTAGAAAGTATCAGCTGTCAAATAATATTTATCCAATCAAAATTTTGGAATATATATGTATTTTTTATCAAATGGCGTTAGAAATCATCATTTTTGTTTTTTGTTGTTTCATACAAAATCGTTGAAAGTTATTCAGTAGAGCATGAGTTATAAGTATTTTTATCTTACGAGGGAAGCATTCGAGATGATAACTCCCGTTTTCATTCATTCATATCTGATTTAGTTAAGTATATTACGATAGTAAAAACCCTAAAGGGGATTTTCCCCGATCTCATTCCTTCAGTAGTTATCCCCATTTTACTTGATTTTCGATCCATTATTAGGTATATACCTCAAAAAATTAAACTACGGAGTTTCGAGCTGAAGTTTTGCCGGTATACAGGTCCAATAGTTATTAGAACATTCTGAAAGTTTCAGCCAAAAAGAATGTTCCTTTCTTGAGATGTTCAGTATTCAAGTGAACTCCATTTTCATGACCTATATATAGCAAGCGATTATTTTTTGAAAATTGAATATCTCAAGAAAGGAACATTCTTTTTGGCTGAAACTTCCAGGATGTTCTAATAACTATTGGATCTGTATACCAGCAAAATTTCAGTTCGAAACTCTGTAGTTTATTTTTTGAGGTATATACCTAATAATATGTCGAAAATCAAGTAAAATGGGGATAACTACTGAAGGAATGAGACTGGGGAAAATCCCCTTTAGGGTTTTTACTATCTCAATATACTTAACTAAATCAGATATGAATGAATGAAAACGGGAGTTATCACCTCGAGTGCTTCTCTCGTTAGGGATGCGAACGATACAAAAATAGCGTTAATCACCTATATGAATAATAAAAACAACGAATAAACCATGACTCATAAAAACAATCACTGTTCAATAATAAGTTTGTATTACATATCGAGTATTCAGTAATAACATTGTTATTCAATCAAGTAAAACTTATAGACCTATTTTCATGTCAGTTTACAACACAATCAATTATATTAAATCATATAAAAATCTATAAACTGTCAAAATAATCATTTACTTTCGTATGTTCATATGAGATGACTAGTCACTTTTTTTTATTAATGATAGCTATAAACATAACGAAGGTTGAACAATAAACATACACAAATTACTTTCCGTATTTTACGTAATAAATTTTTTTGTATGATTTGTACGTTCACTTAAATAAATTCTTCACTAACCACTGGTTTTCTTTTCTTCTAACAAGGACATCAGATCTATACATGACTAATATGTGTTAATTTGAAAAAATTGAATTTCATATAAGTCACAACACTTGCTGTGATGCTCTTGATATAGTGAGAAGGCGGTCCAGACAGCAACAGCTAAGATGACAATCAATCATCATGAGAGAAGATGTATACGTATGTGTGAAGTGAGACCACTCAAGATACGAATCACATCAAACATAATATTTGCTAAATAGGTGTCAACGACAAGGTCTGTATGATTTAGACTACACCTAAATAATTGTTAAGTATAGATGTCTAGGGGCAATATTCTTATTTTTCAATTTCCGACTGATAAAAGTTCAGAGAATGCAGTATATTTGTCCTTTCAATTATATCCAAAACATAACTATTGCCATAGATTTTTTTTTATCAGACAATCACACATATATACAATGGAGTCATTCAATTGACCAGAGAAGAGAACAAGAGAGAGAGAGCAGAGAACACAGACAAAGGCATTGTCTCTAATAAAAAAAAGAGACAGAGAGAGAGAAAGAGACGATATGAAAAAGAGAAAGTATAAGATAAAACATATCCACACGTCTTGGTATTCGCCACTTGATTTATTTATTCTCTGATATTGTGTACTTGAATTATTACAATCAATTTGATCATGTACATCTAATTTTTTTTATTAACTCACGACCGTAAAATAAGACATTAAATTATATCAAAAACAAACATGTAAGTTTTCTTTTAGACAAAAGAAAAATTATTAGAGTGAGTATTTTAATAATTTCACTAAAAGATTAAGATGAAAGATCATCCATTTCTAGTAAGTGAATTACCCTATAGACACATTCTTAATGTTCATAGTCAATATCATCCATATGTTAGTCTGTTGATCGACAGATTCCTGCTGTGTTCTATGTGCCGCCCAATGTAAACTTATGCAACATTTTCATTAAAACAGATTAATTATAATTTTTTTTCTCTCATCTCTACCACATATGTGAGATAAATATACCATCCTCTTGCATCTACTATAGATTTATTCTATGGAGTAAAAGCACGGGGATGTAGCTCACTTGGTAGAGCGATCGCTTTGCATGCGATAGGCACCGGGATCGATGCCCGGCATCTCCAATCAACATATCTTTTTTTTTTCTTCCTCTTGCTTACATATTTTTATTCGTTCTGCTTATATATATGCAAGTATATGAGACATAGGTTTTTCTTTTAAGTTATTTTAAAATGAATATAATTTGATATTTCTCTGAACATTGACGAGGACACATGGAGTCAAATTGAACAAAAGAAGAAATATCAATTGAGTTACCTTGGGCAACAACTCTCTTGTTCATATAACGATCATTTTTCATTTAAATGTGTATTTATATACAAAGAATTTAATGAATAAGATCATTTTCATATTTACAAAAAAAAAAAGTTCTTTTTTTTTGCTTCGTGCTAAGATTTGTAACCCTCCGGCATTCTTCGAGCCAATTAACACTATTGTCATTTATCTGATTTATTTTTGTCGAACATTACTTGTCATCGAAACAGGTTATTATCGGGTTGAACTGTCGTCTGTCTCGAGTTAATAATTAACTATGAGAGTTTTTTTCACCCTTCATAAGTTAATTGACTTGGACAGTGAGATGATAGATGAGTCGTCTTGAGTAAATTAGTTACCGTATGTTGAATGTCGTTGTTTAATGATCACCTTCGTTTCAATATAAAATTTATTGCATCTCAAGAGGGATAGAGAGAGAGAGAGAGCAAGCGAAACAAAAATATGTATACTATTTAAATACACTTGAGTATCATTTTTGTATGTTTATATCGAGATGAAGAATAGTTACGTTATTTTTCTTTTCAACTACTATCAACAACAACCACACTTCTATTGGATTAGGTTTGTATCATGATGCTATTAATGATAATTAGCATCATGCCACCTTGACCATAGATATTCTTATGTAAATATAAGCTCAGTATGTATGTTTGATTATGATAAACATATTGAAAATAAATGAATTGAATAGAATGTTTAAAACTAACAGTTTTTTCTTCTTCTATTCATCAATTCATAGATGATATAGTTCAATTCTGTCATATAATATAAACAATCCATACATCATCTAGAATTTATTATCTATTTTGTTTTTCTTGTAAAAGCAAAAAAAAAAAGAAGATTAATCAAATGATTGTTTATTATGTCTATTTCTTTTTTCTTTTAAGTATTAAATATAATGATTTTTTTTAATTTGTTTTAGGTTAACTATGTTAGCAAATATTTTAATTTTTATTTGTTTATTTTACTGTCATCATGTTAATACGTCTAGCATATATAATATTGGACAAGATAAAAGAGAATTAGGAATGCGTATGTCTTTTTCGAATATATCTATAAAGATTGTATTAAAATAAATATTTTTTATTTCCTTCGTAGGATTTAAACAAGCTATTACTGATGCTATGAAAAAAATTGATGATCTTGCTAGTAGTAAATATTTGTTTTCAAAAAAAAATGTTATTTTTTAAAACTAATGATTTTGTTTAATTATAGCTTGTCCACCTGGCAGTTTTTTTTATAATGGTTCTTGTTATTTCTATTTACCACCAAAACAAATAGACGACTGGAAAGGAATTGGATTTACTGATATATCGATTGATGAAGGTACAGAATTTTTGTAACTAAAAATGGAATTTGAAATAATATTTTTCATAAAAATCCGAAGATCTATATCGAATTGAATTATTAAATAAGGAGAATTCTGAAGACTCCTTTGCAGTATTGATTTAGTGTGTGCAATAAGTTTATCCTTAGTCGATTGACTTCACTAATTGAATGGTATTTACTGTTACAAATTATTTTTCTTTTTCTCAATACTCTAGTCTTTTAATTCATAAATTAAGAATTTATCTGAAAGGAAAAAATGTATTTGTAACTTCATTTGACTGTGAATATTTATCATTGTTTATAATTTTCTTTATAAAAGAATGTAATCTATAAATTGTTTTCGATCGTTATGCTAGTTACATATTTAGATTAAACAGAATTTTCACCATTTCTACTTAAAATACGAATTGATTGTACGAACAGTAATTAACGAATATATATATGTTACAGGAGAAATTAAAATCTACGGTAGTTTAAAATCCCTCTAAGGAGAAATTAAAACAATTTTGTTTTTTCCTACATTTTGTGAAAAATTCTTAAGAATCAGCACACTACGCGTTCATTCTGACCATCATTCTTGCTCTCATTCTCAATGTCAAGATCGTGTAAATTAAAATCTTAAGGATTTCTCACAAAATGTAGGAAAAAATAAAGTAATTCTAGTTTTCCCTTAGAGAAATTTTAAATTGCCCGGGATTTAAATTTCCCCTGTAACATATATACATAATATAAGTAGAATCTTTTTCGTTAAGATGATATTTCCAGACATAGATCATTGAAAATATGAAAGCTAAGGTAACAATACTGGAAGAATTTAAAATTGGAATTTTTTTCGCCGATATTTTCTATTTAAATGATAAATTGAAGATTTTAGATTTTGTAAGACAAACAGTTGTTGTTATATTGATTCAGACAATTCTATTCAAACCTAAGGTTAAGTATAGACATGAATCGAAATTTACTTCTACCTATTGATATCGAATGTCGAAACAACAAGTTTTTATCTTACGATAGATACTACTTATGACTTCATAATTTTAATTTAGTATAAAAATATTACATAGAAAATGTATGACAAAATAGCAAAGAAGTTAGAGTCACTGTTGAAGCTGTATATCCTGATGAATTAGCTATCTTCAAAAAACCTTTAGTCATAA